CGTCTGCGATAATATGGTAAGTGTTGTTGTAATGATGTTCGATCTGACATTATCAAGTATATCACAGAGAGTGCACGCACGTTGATTTATTTGTCTATCAAAATTCAAGGCATTCTAAATTGTAGACGGCAAAAATGCTTCTGTATGCTTTTTTATGTTTATATAATTTAATATAGTTAACTTAATATATATCACACAAATAGTAGCCTAACGTTTTTCTGCAAATATCAGGATGAACACATTTAATAATAATTTTTATACAAGTTCAGTAAAGCATGCAATAACTTAATTCATGTGATGTATGTACTTCTAGGCATCTTTGGTTTCCTCTTTTTGTGAAATTTAGATGGAAAATGTGTGCCTTTTTATTGTTTGAGTCAATTATCAAAAGTTGCTAAAACTAGCCAAATAAAATAAAAAAATAGCTAAATTTGTTGCTAGGTGCTTTTGGAAGAAAAAGTTGCTAGGGTAGTCTGAAAAGTTGCTAAATTTAGCAACAAAATTGCTAAGTTGGCAACACTGATTGAATGAATCAGCCTTTTGAACAAATTGGTTGATAAAAATGATTCAGTGATTCACTCATTAACACAGTCAAATGCTTTGTTTCTGAACGAATCAACCGTTTGAATGAATCTGTTGAATCTCAATGACTCACTGATTAACAGTCACTTGCTGTGACCTACTGGTGGTTTTAATTTCACATTTCGACTATTTTGTTTATGTTTTAAATGATTTCAAATATCAGTATTCAACGTTTTATGTTAAAAACAAAACATTATTTATCCAACTGTAACTGCAGGTTAAATGCATCCATGTCCCCTCTGAGATACATAAACTGTGTAAATACATCTAAATGCTATTTCAGATGCAGATTCCAGAAATGTTTTCTTATGTTGGAATGAAAGACACTAAGTACCGGATGAAGTGCTTCTTATTCTTACCTAAAAATACAAAATGGAAGAAAGAGTTATAACTGAACACAACCTTGCTACTCAAGCCGTGTATGAAATTTTTATATATATATTTATTTGCTTCTTTTCCATTTTGCATTTACGTGTACTTTTACTTTCAATACTTAAGTACGTTTAAGATTTAAAAAATACTTTTCGTACTTAAGTACAATAAATATCACATACTTTAAGACTTTTACTCAAGTAATATTCTAAACGGTGACTTCAACTTCTACCAAAGTCATTTTCTGGTAAGATATCTGTACTTTTACTTGAGTATGGCTTTCAGGTACTTTAAACACCACTAGGCCTAATGTATTAGGTCTCTGCATTTTTTCAGAGACGACTTGCAGGAAAAGCATTCCTTCTAATTTGGCCAAAGAAAAATGGTAAATTCTACATTTTTCTATATTAACTTGTGCATTTTGGAAATGTTTATTAAAGGTTCAAAAAGTCATAAACAAAAATCTGAAAATAAGTCAATATTCTACTTTTTCAGGCAGCATTTTGTGTGTACTGTTCTAATTCCAATTTTGCTTTTCAACATGGCATTTAAAAATATAACAACCATTCTTTTTTCATTTATTTCATCATGGTTAAAAAAGAAAACAACAACAAAAAAAATGAATGGACGCAAAAGTACACGGACCGGTTTATCTCCTGAAAGTGGTTTTACATAGCAGGCAACATCTGATGTTCTAACAACCACAACCACATAGGCTATCTGTCTAATTATCATTACAACATGTCTATTTAAAAAGATAGTTCTCCCAAAATGACTTCTTTTTTTAGAAGAGAGAAATTCGCTCATCTTCAAATAACAAATTAAGATATTTTTAATTAAACCTGAGAGATTTCTGTCCCTCCACTGACAGTCCATGAAACCAAAAGTTTTCCTGTTCAAAAAGTTCATAAAAACATCTTAAAAGAAATAGATAGATATGAATCAAACGCTTTAATCCAAGTCTTGTGAAAAGACATGATTGTGTTATATGATGAAAATATTTAATTTAGACTTATTTACATATTTGATGTGCTTTATGTTCATGCTCTATGTAAATCTATTCATCATATAAAGCAATCACATTTTTCTCGATTCATATGGATTATGTTTACAATGTTTTTATGAACTTTTTTAACTGAATTTTTGGTGTAAACAACCTTCAATGGAGAGACTCAATGGAATATTTTCATTTGTCTTTCGAAGATGAACAAAACACTTATGGGTTTGGAATGACATGAGGGTGAGTAACATGACAGAATATTCATTTTTGAGTGAACTATCCCTTTTGTGAATCAAATAATAGATTCTTGCACTTTTTTCATTCTTTTTTTCAAAAAACAAACTTTCCAGTCTGAGGAGATGTAAGTAATAGACCTATTTAATATTTGATTCCACTTTTTAATTTCTGCTCTCTCTTCAATAGGATGAAGATCAAGACTCTCTTCAAGACTCACACAGAAAGATGGCTTCCTGCTTAATGGAATTTGATTATTACGGGGCAAAAAAAAAAAAGAGCAAATCAAAATTGGGCATGTTGTAATATTTTTTTCACTTCTAATCTGCGACCAAACTATGGTCTACCAATCGGTTCTGGAAATATTTTAAGGGATGTTTTACTTTGTTTATTTTTCCAATTATGCCAAGCTATAAAATATTTTGATTAGAAAGAAATACGGAAACCTTTTTGGGGTCTTTGATTATTGTTGTGGGCATTGTGAAGACATTGTGAAGACTTGGCATAAAAAAGAATGAGAATCACTGCTGGAAGTGCATGTAGCACTTAGATTTTAGAAGAAATATGTAAGCAGTCGGCATGCATAGAGTCCATTTTTAACACAGCACAACTATGCATTACATTCTCAGTGTGGCCACAAGGGACGCTATAATGAGCATTATCCTAACTGTCTTCTTTTATAGTCCACTTTCTCCTTCAGGTCAAAGCAGCAATTTGAAGAGAATCAAACTAAGCATGTCAATATGTTTATAACTACAGGTGCTGAAACCTGAAAAATAACATCCAGTTTAAGGAGACATATTTAAAGGTAACTATATCGCCTCCTTGAGGTTTCCTAGTGCGATATAAATTTTTAGGTATGCATGTGTGATCAACGGGTTTCAGTGCGTTGGCTAAACATTTAGGTCAATGTTTGTATACATTCAAAGAATTAGTTTGTGGCCTTAAAGTGGTGGGAGGGGTGAGGCACTCATTACACAACAGCAGGCTGCAGTTCTACAACCACTGAGCAAAAACTGCACGGTAGGCATTCACCCCTCACTGACATCCTGCAGGGGAATAAAGTCACACATGAAACCTCTGTAATATCTCAGATGTTTCTCCTAGACACCAGTGAGATTAAATAAAGAGCAAATGAAAACATTTGCTTAGTAATCTCACATCTATCTACGAAGTGCTTCAGAAGAGATCTAAACAACATCAAAACAAATAAACTGAAATAATAAATGTCAAAATAATAGCCAAAATAATAAAAGTCAGAGATTTCAGACTGAACTCAAAGATTTCTCATCAGTTTTTCCAAGACCAAATTATCTTAACTATCCACTGTACATTATTTTTCCCAGTTCTACTTCTACTATATGTCAACATTTAGCATTTCTCCTTAGGAATCTAAGGAGAAACAGCGGAGACAAAAATAATACTACAATGAGCTATGAAAAATCAACCTCTGAGCAATGAAATTTTGCTGATGTTAATTCTTAAAAATTAGTCTTATTCTTTAAAAATAAAAAACCATAATGCCTAAAGCAATTTTTCATACAATATTACATACAACATGTTAATGTGGATACTACCGTAATAGGAATACACAATATGTCTGTCCCATACTGACTTTTTTGAGGTATTGGATAATTAATTGTTCATGCTCATTTACCCTATTTTTTACGTTTAGAGAAATTTAGCCATCATCTAAAAACTCACAAAAAAACTAATCTTATAACCTTAACACTAATAATTTAATAACACTGTTAAATGTAATCTTTAGCAAATCTAATTTTTCATATTGTACATTACAATGTTGTGATGCCAAAATATAACGTGTACTACTGAAAAATTATAAATATTAGTTTATTATTTTTAATTTAGACAAAAAAGGCTAAATAAAAAGATTTTTAAAAAACGGCTGTAACATGAAAATAATTATGAGCTTATCATATCGACAAAATAAAAGATCCATAAGAACTATGAGCAATAGCTTTGTCATAAATCTATAAATACTCACAATCAGTACAATCCAATTTGAGTTTTGAGTTTATCTGTTTCTCATGACTGAGCATTATCTCCACCATTATCTAAATTCTCATCTACAGTCATCATGGCATATAAAACATCACATCAACTCATTCAATTACGAGTCAGAATAGGATGGATGGATATGCCAAGAATTGTGATCACTGCGAGGACCTTTCGAGTCACTGACTCTAGTGAGTGAGTATCTCCAACACTATGTTTACCCAGTAACCCCTCTCTCTACACCCACCTCACCACCGACAGCACCGTCGCCTAGCAACCCAACACGACGCGTGCACTCAGAGTGGGAAGTTTGCCGAGTGAGACAGAGAAAGAGGTAGTGGACAAGTAGTGTGAAGAGGTGAGAGAGAAATAAAGAGAAAGGAGGAAAGAAAGGGAAATATTTGGGGTTTAAAGGCGTCTTTAACCAGCTCAAAGTGAAATATGCTACATCTGATGACTCCACATCAGTGATGAGGAACAATGTGCTACACTCTTAAAAAATAAAGTTTATTTATTAGCATCTATGGTTCCATGAAGATCCTTTAACATTCACTTAACCTTTCCATTGCACAAAAGGTCCTTTATAGTGGAATAAGTTTTTTTTAAATGTACTTTACACCAAGAAAAATGGTTCTTTGAAGAGCTATTCATTGAAAGGTTCTTTGGTGAGCCAAAATTGGTTCTTCTTTGGCCTTGCTGTGAAACCCCCTTTTGGAATCTTATTTTTAAGAGTGTAGGGTCTAAATGAGATGACATGTCAAGAAATCAAGACAGCAAAGCAAAACATTTCTCTCACCATCACTGGTGGAAGACTTAAGTCTCTGGCATAGGCTTTCTACATCTCCAAAGCTGTCCTGAATTTTCTGCAAGGCCTCGGCTCCTCTCAGCTCCATCAGGGACCGGAGCTCCTCCAACGTCACCCCAAAGTCTCCAGCATGGTTGGCTTCTGCACCTCCTCCACCCCGCTTGGGGTAAAACTCCACTGCGCTATTCGCCATCTCACCCATGGTTGCTGTGGTGGACATCTTGAATCTTAGGGTGTTGGGTCCACGAAGTTTGATCTAAATGACTTCTTCTCGTCCAGGAGGTTTCAGCAACACAAGGTCAGTAATAGTGATGATTCTTGGCTTGAGTTTTTTGGTTTTGAGTTTGCTCCTCCACTCCTCTCCCTCCCCAGAGTTCTTCTAACTCTCCATCAGAGGAAATCGGGACAACAACGGCAGGACACTTCTAGTGTATTTGGAGAAATCCTGTCCTCTCCCCTCACCCCGAGGGTCAACAGAACGAGGGATCGGGCCGCTTCCAATCCATCAGGACACAGAGAACGAGAGCAAAGAGGGGGCGCAAAACCGAGCGGGATATTGTGTAGATCTGCAGCGCTGATGCGTTAGGATTCAAAGGATACGGGATGATGGGATTGGTGAGGAAGCCTGCAGAGACACACAGACAGAATAACACATTACAGTCTTCAAAGTGCTTGTGTGGGCAGCAACTTGGAGAACAGTGGGCATTCCTTAAGAGACAGAGCGAGCTTTCAGTCAGACGGCTCTGAGCTAATGCTTTCAAATGTATCAGCACATTTTCACCTCAATTCAAAGGTCTTTTGTGTTTTAATTGAGTCACACACTTCCCTTACTCTCATTAATGAGGCATTAGACAGGTCTTCGCATTATTAATTATGCTAAACGGACAGGTCAGTCATTTTCGAGTGCAACACGACTAAATTCCCTGGACATACAGTGTGGTATACAGTATGAGGAATGTGTGCTCTCACAGATGGTGATGCATATAACATATACTGTATCTCTAGCGATCCAGACCACTGCATTGGCCCATAGTTGCCATGGAAACCTACAGATGCCTCTCACTCCCACAAAGCTCCTTCGGCCTCGCTATACCCCGACACACACATACACATATACACTTGGTTCTTATTCACACTTGCTCACAAACACCTCTACACTAGCAGAGTTTCCTCTCTATTATTTTGGCCCTGACGCCATATTCTTACTTCATCTTTCTCGATTTCTCTTTTCCATCTCCCAGCATGCCTCTGTATATGTCCCTATGTTCTCTTAGATGACAGTCTCAGCCTCAGACGGCACGCCCACAGACCACCCACAGTCCATTCAATGTGGGTCTGATGCATACAGCACACAAAACTGGAAAGAACTTTCACAATCTGGCAAGGTCTAATATGACTGGCTGACTATATGCAAAAAATACAGGAGTAAAGTCACAGTATTTTTGGAAACAGTTTAGGCACTGGGTAGATAAATATATTGGAATATTAAATATTGGAAATGTATTTCATAAACATTATTCGTTTTTAATAATTAAAAATATATTTAAAATGTAAAAATGTATCAAACCATTTAATTAAAAAAATATTTAAATTTACTTTTCATGCTTTCATGCTTGTCATTATTGTAATTTTTTCATCAGTCTTTTTGACAGGTTAGTGTAATCATATAAATAATGATTATTGTGCAGAAGAAGCTGTGATGTGGACTAGGCCATATGCAGTTTAGTCAAAGTCTGGCTATGCTCGACTGCTTATATGGTGATGAGTCTGAGGTATGCAGCGTGCTGTGTGAGTATGTGTGTAGGTAGATAGGGCCGGTAATGTGCAGGAGTGACATAGAGGGTGTCATCATTCTCATGCTGACTCACTAACCCCAGCCTTCCTTTCCCCCTCCTTTCTTCTTCTCTGGTGCACTGCATATATGCACAAAAGGAAGGTTCTGCACAGTCAAGAGATAATCAGGTATCACGTACATGCCCAGACAGAATCTATGGACATTTTTCACCTGTTCTGCATTAGTTTTGGCGGAAGATCAGAGGAATTTATTTAAACATAGTAAAATGTGTTAACAAAGCTTAGTGTACTATGCTCTTATTTGAAAGCAAATTATCAAAAAATGTAACATATACAGTATGATCATACAACAAACTGAGAATGTGCTAGCCTGTGTTTAGAGCCAAGGGTCATCTGAAAATGATTATATAAAATTTAAAAAAGATAGGCTAATAATGGTTAGATTGTCTCCTCCATTAATGGTTGTACAGATAACAGAAGCATTTCTTTCCATCCAAAATGGAATCTTTCCATCCTAATAATCGTTAAATTGAAAGAAGTCTCGTATGCTCATCAAGGCTGCATTTATTTGATAAAAAATACAATAATATTTATGAATATTATTACAATTTCTTTTTCAATATATTTAAAAAAGTAATTTATTACAGTGATGGCAAAGCTTAATTTTTGGCAGTCATTACTCCAGTATTCAGTGTCACATGGTCCTTCAGAAATCATCACAATATGCTAATTTGATTTTCAGAAAACACTTTCATTATTTTCAATGTAGAAACAGTTGTGCTGCTTAATATTTTAGCAGAAATAGAAATGTGATACATTTGAAAGTTCAAAAGTACAGCATTTATTTGAAATAAGAATGCTTTGTAACTTTATACATTTCTTTACTGACATTTTTTGACAAATTTAATGCGTCCTTTCTCAATAAAAGTATTTATTTTTTATTTTTTAGTGTACCGTTTTTAGAAAAAACTGTAACTATAAGGCCACTAATGCCACTAACCTTGCAAACCTAGTGAATTAGTTCTCCCTCAAAAACAATCACTGCATCAATGCAGTATAGCCTCTGAACATGAAAGCCAGCAAATCAGATTGCAGCAGATTCTACCTGGGCCTGGTCACATGTCAGATATGAAATCAGACCTTCCATTATTATTATATTTTTATGCACTTGAGCATATTTGCATCTTTTGGGGCCACTTGCTGGCATCAGTCACATTCACTTTAGCATCTATGCAGCCCCAGATTTCCCTCACCAAGAGACTGCTTAACCGTAGAGTTATGTTCAGTGTGCAGGAGGCAGATGGTCTGGAGATTATGCTGAATATTCATATTGATCCGTGTTTTCCCAAACCTTTCAGCAAGTGTGCTCTAGTGCCATTCGGTAAGACACTGTTGATAGTGTACTGAGCTTTCCCAGGCCTGCCTTGCCCAGACCAGCCCTGACTACCACGACCCAACCCAATCTGCTAAAGTTAAAAGGGAGAGACAGAGGGGCCAGCATTACATAAATTGTTCAGTGCCTTATGCAATGTGTCTAAGTAACCAACAGAGAAGTACTCACGCTCACACCCACTCGCGGGCACAGACACACACACAAACACAACCCCCTAAAACTAGAAGAAACTTTAACCCATATTCAACCATTAAAAAAAAACTACACCAGTCTATGTCACCAGGAGCCAGTGATCTGGCACTGTGAAACAATGCAGGAGATTACTTTGTTAACTGGCAGCATTTAAAATCAAGATGTCTCCGGCACAAAAATAAATAAATAAAATAAAAAGCGAACAAGGGTCGATGAGTCAGTATGCTGCTCACTTCACTCTTATTACAGAGACAGGCCACTGACAGAGTCTGAACACATACACAGAGCAAAGTAGTTTAGCCGCACTTCCGTCCACTCGCATTCAGACGTCAGCTGAAATGACTTGTTTAACAAGGCATGACAGTTTCCATGGGAAAAAGAAGACACATATTCCCTGAACACCTACCAAATAAAAACAAATATGAACACCAGTTCTATGAGACTATTGTGACCAAGGCAGATTAAAATAGGCCTAAAGGAAAGAAGCTTTTAGAGTATAAACAAACCGAATCTGAACAGACATGAGATGCCTTAAAGGAAAAATTCACCCAAAAAAATGTAAATTCAGTCATTGTTTACTCACGCTCATGTTGTTCCAAACCCGTATGACTCACAAAAGGAGATATTTAGCATATTGCGCAAGTTGCTCTTTGCAGTTTTGGTCCCCATCCAGATTCAATGTATGGGAAAGAGTGGCTTGCACAATCTGCTAAATATCTCTATTTGTGTTCCATGCAAGAATATTTTACAGGTTTGGAACAACATGATGGTGATTAACTGATGGGAGAATTTTCTTTCTTTTTTTTTTGGTGCACTGTGACCGTTTGTTCTTCTGTGGAACACAAAAGGAGATATTTAGCATATTGTGCAAGCTTCTCTTTTCCATACAAGTAAATGAGGACCAAAACTGTCTCTGGTCCCAATCAAGTGTGCCACACACATCCTGAAAAGTGAAGCCAAAACATTTAGATCGCCATCTGGTGGCTGGCTGCAGTATAGGTCATAAACCCCATCCTCACCATGTAAACGAATCGAACTAAAAAAAAAAAAAATCCCAAAGATGTTTTCCATAATTTGAGGTAGTTTTTATCCCATTAACGTATGTTCAAGTGTTCATTTTTATAATAAGTTTGCTTTTAGTTTATTATTTGATGCTATAAATACGGGGTATGGTGTCATGATTGTGTGCTTGCAATTGGGAGTTTGGGCAAGACTTTGATACTACAGCTCCACCTTAAAATCAGTACTGCGCAGACTCGGGCTCCAAACAAATCACTACTGTGCAAACTTTGGCTCCAAATGACATAATTTTCACAAGATGACAGCGACTATACTGGGATGTTTCGGCTTCACTAAGGAAGTAGAGACGCATTGTCCATCTTTTTTTTTTTACAGTCAACAGCCCCAATCCAGTTTTCCTGTAAACTGCTAAATATATATATATTTTTTTGTTCCACGCAAGAAAGAAAGTCTTATGGGTAAGTAATTATTGCCAGAACTTTAATTTTTTGGTGGACTGTCACTTTAACAAATGACATCCATGACACTAATTTACTGTCAGTGAGTTTCTTTAATCAGAAAAAAATGTCCTTCTGTTCGGTTTCTAAAAATGGAACAAAAAGAAATGATATAGAGGAAATAAAAAAGGAAAATAAAATAAAATAAATCAGTCCAGCCCTGTGCTGCTTTGATGTGAGTGGACAGACATTGCTTGAGTTATTTCTGCAGAATGACAAATTCAGCTACACTTTACGGGACCCATCTAATTGTCAGCCTGTAGTTTTTACTTTTTTGCTTTTTTTAAAGAGCAGAAAATAAAATCTCCTTCCCATGAGCTCCCTGTTTATGTAGTGTCTCAGTGACAAGGGCAAATACAGCACAGAGGCCTACAGGCCTGCTGCTGACAGGGCTTTACTATCAGGATCAAACAGTGATGGTAATGAAGGTGCTGTGTCATACTGAGGTTGAGAAAAAGGTGATTTTGCCGGAGTAGGACATAATAGACACACTCCCTCTGGAATATGCCATAAGATAATAGTTAAGAAAAGGCAACTCACTGGGGAAAAAAAGCCTTGGGTCACAATGACTGAACACTGGTGAATGTTGTATAATATGCTTTGGACCTTTTTTTTTATTTTTTTTTTACTGTCATTCATCCACATTCTCATTTGACATGACACTTATGGAATCTGAACACATGCTAGCTGTAGTTGCAACTGCTGGGATGTGATATTAGCTTTCTATTAGCTTGATTTCTGAACTTTTTATGTGCATTCCCCAACAAGAAAACCTGCTTGAATTACCTCATTTATGATTATGTCTCCCTTATCTTTTCGTGTGGGCACAAAACCACTCAGTGCATGCTACTGTAAGTGAACATTACCTTCTCTCTTTATAAGTTCATAAGATTCCAATCCCCTCCACACGCACCCCATTATCCTCAATCTTAATCTCTTTGTCCATCTGTTCTTTGCTCTTCCATTTTTACCTCCTCCCATCCACCTTCACTGCAGTGGCCTGTATTCGTTACACTGGTTTCGGGCTTTCAAAGCGAGACATGGACTGCATTGGCGTAAGAGTCTGTAGGGAGTAACATAAGCTGCTCGGCTTCGATTCTAAATACCTGATTATGGCCCAGACATTTGTGCAATGCTGACCGAATGCACAAGGATGGGATGATTCTTGTTCTAATTATGTGTTGCAAACAGGCTAGAGACATTTTTATCTCATGGAGATAAAATGTAACCGTGAACCACCATCCCATGGGTCATTTGTTTTCATCATGCCCTGGTCTATACATGTTATCTATCCCAGTATCAGCTCTGCCATTCATGTGTTACGATGTATCCGCAACTCCACACACTCTGCAGAAAGCATAATTGTCATATGCATGTCCATAGAGTATATACATATGTATATTGATATTCAGTCCTTGTCCATTGAATGTCGCAGTTGGCTTTCTATGGTTTTTCATTTAAAATGACAGAAATTACAAAAAATAAATAAATAAATAAATATATATATATATATATATATATATA